GGTGAGAGAGAAGAGTTGCAAAATCACGCACACTGAGGGCGGTGTTAGCAAAGCAGTTTCCTGCACACTGTGGTAGGTGTTAGTGAGATTATCAATTGCTTCGGGAGAGACAGAGGACTGGAGGGCTTTGGGAATGTGTGTGTGTGTGTGTGTGTGTGTGTGCGTGTGTGTGGCTCTGGGGGTGGAGGGGGATGGGGGTGTCCATTTCTTTGCTGGTTGTTTCCCCTGAGGTTGTGCTTTTCCAAGGATCTACATGCTGCACTTCCATTTCTGCAGTGAAATTCACTGGCGCTCTCAGCAGGTAAGTCCCTTTCAGCTCACCTTTAAGAGGAGATCCTTGAGCTGTGGTGGGGTGGGCTCTGCCCCATTCTCCTCACATTGGGCTTGTGTTGTTCGCGCTAAAGTGATGTGTTGGAAGCTTTCATGCGGGGCAGGGGTTTGAGGCTGCTAGAAGAGGTATGCAGCCCTGAAAGAAGAAGGAAAGAGGTGGGGAAGGCTGGGGGGCGGGGAGGGGGTCACCAAAACAAGGACTCAGGCATTTTCTTTCTAACAAATCTTCCATTTTTTTTTCTTAGAAATGTTGCCTCCAGGCTGGTTGGTGCCTGGCACCAGCACAGGGTCTTTGGCATGAGTCATAGCTGTGATGTTTCTCTGTTCCTCTTTTTGTTTTTTTTTTTTCCTTCCTGGTTACCGCTGCATGAGAGAGATCAGGCAGGCAGAAGCAGGGTTGCACGTTGTCAATACAGGCTGCAGAAGTCAATAAGCAGCCAGACAGGGAGTGAAATTGGAGGAGGCAGCTATAGATTTCTTAGGGTATTTCTTGTGAGTTTTTCAGAACTTGTGTGATTCGGGCTTGTCAGATACTATTTTGAGCCGGGCTAAGACAAACACATTCCCATAGTGTAGCAGATGTTGTCTGCAGCCTCCCAATTTCCAGAGACACCTAGGTTGGTCTAGGAAGGGACAGGAATGAGAATTGGGACATTCTATTGGGGCAAGTGACTGTTATACAACTCTAGAGTTTGGTAGAAGTCATAATGTAATCATGAGATGTTTCTCAGTATGGTAGTAATTGGCTTGAGACCAGGTGGTACGTTTTATTCAATTCAGTACTTAGAGTGAGTACTCGGTAAATGGGTGTTGACTAAACATTCGTAACCAAAAATGTGTACTTTGTGGGTAAACTCAGATTGTTATTCTGGGTGGGTTCTACTTAGAATGATAAGGGAATCTCATCCTGATTGGTGGGTAATTATGAAGAAGAGATCAATAGTATTAATAATCTCAAGTAGACTTTGACGGGGACATACATACAACCTGCCTTTCCTTCCTTGCCTTCCTTTCTGGACCCATCTCTCTCCTCCCTCTAGTTGTTAACCATCTGGTTCCAGAAGAGTTTCAGGCAGCTCCTAAGACTTCATGGAAATTAGCACCCTTAGGAATAGAATGACAAAAAGATGTAACATGCATCCAACAATTGATCTTGTGTCGTTCACAATTGAAATCACTAATTTTAATTGAAGCATTTGTTTTAACCCCTTCATGTACATCCCAAATGAAAGATAGCAAAAGCCAAGTAGCAGCCACACAGGTGATGGAATAATATGCAGAGGAGTGGCTGGACATTTTGCTTTTGGAAACTAATAAAGAAGGTCATTGGATGATCTTCTCTATTCTTTGCACTGGGCTGCTTTGCTTGTTTGTAGCTGTATAATGCTTAGTTTTTCTTCCCCTATTTGAACCTGAAGCTGGAAGATTTCAGAGAGAATGGTCTCCCTTTTCATCTTGCCTAATAAAGTATTCTATTATTTTCTCAGCTACTAAAATATTCTGTTATTACAGAGTGTTTTTCTCTGGCTGTAGTTTACAAACTACACAGGCTTCTTGGAGGTAGAATTTGCCTTTCTAGAGGGTATTGGGGGAAAGGAGTAGGAGATTCTAGGTACCTGATGAACTTCTGAAACTCTGAGGCCAGCTGGGAGTCAAAAGGACTGTGGACAGACGTTTTGCATGCATGAATAGACTCAACTAATATTCTCCAGCTCTGAATGGAGCTAGGGCAAGGGCACATTCACTCAATTCACCCAAAAAAATATTGGCTTAAAAATCCTCTGTGTAGGGCATAGCATCCTGGGAGAATCAAATGTAGGACTCTCCTTTCCCATAGGAGTCTACTTACCACGTAGCAAGTGCTGTTACATTGTCTTGTTTATTTTTCTTGGGAGGCAAAGGAATTTTATCCCATTTCACAAATGAGGAAACTGAGACTCATGCATTTTATATACCCTGCCTAAGATTGTATACCTAGTGCATGATCAAAGCTGTTTACTTAAACTGCATTGTACATATCTAAGGGAAGACACATTCAAAAAAAGGTTCTCAAAGATAGTAGCTGCTAACAGTGGTAAGATTATCTTAGTGAAGGTTCCTATAGAGGAGCAGACATTAAACTGAACCTCTCCAAAGTAGTAACAGGCGATAAAAATTCCCAGCCTGAAGTGATCTTGCCTCAGATAGAATTATTTTTACAGTGAGTTTGTTATTCTAGCAGAGACATACAGGGTTGTGCTTTGCCAGGCCATGCCTGCCTATGTTTGAGCTAAATTAGATGTAGCAGGTCCATAAGGCTGCCGAAGATGGTTGATGGAATTACAGTCAGGATTTGAGCGGCATTGGGAGTCCTGAGCATTGACCCTTTGAGTTCCACAATGAAATCATTACTGTGCTTTCTTCTACCGGGGTTCTCTTCCTCTATGAATAATAGTATATCATACTCAGTCATAGTTGGGAATCAAGGTAGCCTTTCTCTTTACTGCCTTTTTTTTGTGCTGAGAATTGAACTCTGGGCCTAGAACTTTGCTAATCAATAACCATAGACTTGAGCCATGCTCCAGATCATTTTGCTTTCGGTTTGTTTTGCAGACTGTATCTCACATTAGTTTTGTCTTGCTGGCCTCCAATTGTGATCCTCCTAAACCTGCCTTCTGACTAGGTGGGAATACAGATGTATACCTCCACTTGATGTGGAGTCCTTTGCCTCTTTTTTTTCTTTTCTGCTTCTTAGTCATTCTAAGCATCCTTTATACATCCTACCAGTCATCAAAATCCTTTTGGTTTAATGTCAACATTTCTTTTGAGCCACCTTGTTCATTTCCACTGTCCTAATGCTGCATTCTGCCTCATTGGACTCTTAACTATTGTTGCCTTGGTGAGCAGAGCATGGAAAAAGTACTCAACAGATGGTGATTGAATAAGTATAGTATGAGACAACTTCCTATGTGAATGTTTGTGAAGCAGGCCCCATGTTCCCAGCTCTCTTCTTTCTAATGAGATGGGTGTGGTTGGTATTTTTAGGAATGATTATGGGTAAAAATTAGGCCCTTTGCTTTCCAATTTAGCATGTGTGTGAAGTCACTTTATTTCTTTTTCAGCAGGGTGGGGTGGGGTGGGAGTATTTAACAAGTACATGGTAACCAACCCTATGTGAAAGACAAACTTGTTTTCCCTACCACTCCCCTTCTTCTGAAAGGTCTCATTTTACCATCATTATTTTGCCAGCCTCTGGGAAACCTGATCTAAGCGTGTGTAATGCTAGCAGTGTCTTTTTAACAGCTTGGCAGGGAAGAGAGGCAATTGAATTACCTGTTTACACATCTGATCTCCCAAGGTTATGTCAGAACAAGGGGATAATAGAAGACGTTGTTAACACTGCTTTGAGAATAGTGAGTCCACATGGCAGAGAAATCCATCACATGAAGATGCTCGCTTTCATTGAGAGTGAATCTTTTTCTCCATCAGAACTTCTTCCCTCCCCTCATTTTCCTTGTAACCAATCTCCTTCTGCCGTATCTGTGCTCAGAGTGCTTTTATTCTGGGAATACTTAGTCGACAGCTCACAACCCTCTGCCAGCCTGATAGCAGCTATGAGTGGAAACACAAGCCTGTTCCATCCCAGAGGTGCCGCTGAGCAGCTGAATTTAGGTGTGATGGTTCTCGAAGCAAGAAAGAGGGGTAGGGGAGAATCCTGATGGCTTTTCTCCTTCTGTTTTCTGGAAAGATGAACAAACACCTGAAGTCAAAGATGTAAGTTGAGCTGAGGATGAAGGTGTCTGGTGGAGTAGGATGGGAACACTATTCTAGTTTGAGAGTCGTTCCTGAAAGGCTTTCACTTAAATTGTTTACAGAAACCATCAAAGTGAGGATGGACTTAAGAATCTCTTCCCCCAACATATTAGAGCTTCATTCATAACATCAGGAGATTGATACACATAAATTCATGACATCTTTACAGAGTCCCTGCTAAGGTTCATTTAGCCAATAAGCATTTCTAGAGCTGGACATTGGGCTGGCAGCTACAAACACAAAAAGAGAAGTCATACTGTCTACTGACAAGGAGCTCAGAGTCTGGATGAGAATGCCCATTCTAAGAATAACAAGAACAGGAATTGCTATAGCCAGTGCCCATGGTGTCAGGCACTGCTGTGCCTGCCATGGTTGAGTTGCTATAATGTCACCACGGCCCTATCCTTATTTTACAGATGAAGACATGGGTATGAATGGCCACCAAATGTCTTGCCTAAAGTTGCAGCGTTAATTATACAAGGGACCAGGAGGATAGAGAGATCTGAGTTGTGGGCTGTGGGCTATCTTGAGGGAGTTACAGAAAAATAAACAAAGGGAGCATATTCCAAGACATATATAACAAAATATCAGGAATAAGAGAAGTCATTTCACTAAGAGATCTGGAATACCGGAAGCAGTAAGATAAGTACCCTTAGACATTGATTCCTGTCTTTTGACAGGATTACTACAGAAGGCCAAACACTCAGCTTGGCCAAACACTCAGCCTATCTAAACATACAAATAGGGGTTGCTACCAGTGTTATTCATTCTCCATGCGTTAAATCTCCTGCAGCAAGTCATGTTTCCTTCTGGGCTCTAGATTCCCACAAATAAAGTTTAATGGTTCCCGTCTGTAATCCTAGCCATTGAGAAGGCTGAAATCGGAGGATTGAGGTTTCAAAGTAGCTTGGGCAGGAAAGTCTGTGAGACTCTTATCGCCAATGAAACCACCAAAAAAGCCAAGAGTGGAGCTGTTGGCTCAAAGTGGGAGGCTGCCAGCTAAAATTGTCTTAAGCCAAAAGGAAATGTAGAGGGTTCCTTAAGTAGAAGGTCTAGGAGCTGACTGGGTACAGCTTGATGCAGGGTTTCGTGTGACATTAGCTCCCTTAGGAACAGAACACGTCATGTTTTCACCTTTCAGGTTGGTTGTACTCCCTCTTTGCCCAGTGATGACCACGTTGAGGTAACAGCTGCAGACTTCACATTGTAGGTTGCTGTGAGTTTCCTTTCTGAGTAGTCATTGGCTCTACTCGGTCTTTTATCTATTCTTGCAGTTGTCATTGTGCTCTAGAAACAAAACTAAATAAAAACTTTAGGTCACTGTATACAAGGATAGAATGAAGTGGAGAGCTAGTGGATCCTCAAGGAAATTCAGTTTATCTTTGAGAAAGGTGATGACATTGTTTGGTGGAAACTTCTCAGGCAATGATCTATATTTGTAGTCCCTTTAGATGGTACATAGTCCCTTTGAGAATGGCAGCATCTATAAGTCCTTTGCCTTGCATTTCCCTCACTCATCAGTAGGCCTACTGTATTGTCAGTAGTGTGCCAATGTGAGTCCAATGCCTGAAGAATAGGAAATAATAGCTAGAGGAACTCAAAGGCACAAACTGACTTTTTCTTTTACATGGTTTTCAAAGTTTTAAAAGCCTATTTTTATCATTTGTCTCCTAGTGGATATATACAGATATACTCTACATATTAACGGGGTGACATGTATTATTTTGATACATGTAAAAAACTGTTTCTACTCCCCCTGCTCCCCGCCATGGCCCTTCAGTTCCTTATTCCTAAACCAGAGTTCTTATTCTGGATCGAGAGATCCAGAACATCTTTGGACCTCCAGATGGCGTTGGTTGGGTGTCAGCATATGGGGTGAGAAGATCAGCATGTGGGTGAGAAGATCTGATGTCAGGAGGGCTGTATCAGAACATTGGACTTGAATCAAAGGGAAAATCTTTACACTTTTGAAGAAAAACATCCTTAACTGAAAGATATAAAACTCTGTAAGGATGATGAGGCCCAACTCCCTGGTTTGATTAAAACGTAGTCTAATGATGTATTCAATGGAACCACCAGAAAAAGAAATTCAGGGGCTCATTACCAGCACCTTTTAGTGATTTCTTCCCTTGCCTCTGGGAAAGAAAGCTTGGTGGAGAAATCTTACACTGCCTCGTTGGGCTGTCTGAGCTAATTTGCTTAATTTTTTTTTTTTTGAGTCTAGATTTCCTACATGGCAAATGAAGATAACAGAAAGACTTTCTGAAGAAAACTGTGAACATTAAATAAAAGGATAGTATATAAAAATATCAAAAGCTGGTTCTGTAGTAGGCAATTATTCAACAATATTATTCGTGTTTCAGTTGTATTCTCCCAGTTCTATAAGCTCTGGTTTAGCTGGGCTGCTATTTGGAAGTTTTCTCTCAGCTCAACCCATGACTTCATAATGGCCAGCCTGTTGATAATGGGTGAGTAAAATTTACCCGTTATTTGCACATTGTTAAATGAATAGTTTATTCAGTGCACCAGATCACAGAAAAGTACAGGTTTTCTGCTTATTTTTCAGCCTTCTCTTTCTGGAATTCAGTTCCTAGTTAGCAGCTATTTCTATTGGAAAATCCCTGCTCTGAAAAGCTGTACCATTTTTTTTTTTTTTGGAAGTGAATGAAATCACTCATCTCACTGTCTTGATCTGTAAAAAATGAGGATCATAATACCTGCCCACAAGGTTATTATAAGGTTTTGAGACCACTCAGATGAAACCTGATTTCTTCATAATCTATATGTTGCTAGTAGCACTCTTTGGGATTTTACAGTTTAAAATATCACACCCATGCATGCCTGTCCCTAGAAAACTCTGCATCTGGAGAATCTCATCAAGTAATGGAAAGCCCTATACATTGGCTCTACAAATACATGTAAAACTGGAAGCTCACCAGTGCAGTGTTCCTGTGGCTTCTCTGTTCAAGCAATGAACCATGGTAGCTTCTGCTAGCTCTTTTGGAGGGCTGATCTAGATTTGTGTTTCTGGGATTCACTTGAAGAAGGGATTACCTCATTGGATGTGAGTTGGAGTGGTGGACTTCAATGTCTTTTCCAAGGCTGAGAATCAGTTTCACTATGATTATTTCTGCTTGGGAAATAATCTCTAGAATTGCTAGTGAGATGATCTTAACTAGCTACTTAACACTTCTATTCATCAAGTGCTTCTTTCTGATAATCTCCACTTCCTATCATAGTTATGAGTTTTAAAGGGGAAATGTATGTAACATTTTTAAACACTGTGTGGTTAAGGGTTAGTGATCCTCATCAGTATCTATTTCTCTTCTTGTCGGAAATATAATAGGGTGATACTTCTTGACACTTTTGTCATTGGATGGGGCCATCTGACCAAACCCAGCCAATGAATCATGAGTCAGTATGAGCTCTGTAGCTTCTACATGAGAGCATTTAAATACTGATGAACGTTTGGTACATGGTAACATTCAGCATGGTGGACAGTTAGCCTAGCTTCCTGAACTGTCTGGCCAACACACAGTGGTATTTAGTATTAGGAAGAAATAACTTTTGGTGTATTGAGGCACTTACGTTTTTGAAGGTATAGTTTTACAATTTCATAACATAACCTTCACCGATTGATGAACGAAATGTGTGATCCAGGATAGTATCTAGTAATGTTTGAGCACTTGCTATGTGGTAGTTAAATATTTGCTCACACTTGACAGTAACATTCTGGAAAGAACAATTATTAACCTCAGGAACCGAAGTTAAAACTGGTAAGCAATTTGCTCACTGGTACCTCAGCTAGTGAGTGGATGACTTTTTGAGTTTCTCCTCTTAACCGTAATAGATCAAGCCTCTGGTTTCCTGGTATGATCAGCCAACATTAATTCTGCCTGACCTTTCTTTTGAACCGAATCCCCTTTAGTTTCATTTGGAAATGATTTCCTGTATGAGCCATGACTCTTTAAAATGGCCGTGAGGTTGCCAGGGGGTGGCCTGCTGTGGGTGTCACAGGAAGCTCATTGTTTGCTTTGCATGATGAATCTTGACATTCTACCTGTTATTTTCTTAATTTTAACACATTATTTTTATTCCATTATACACAAAGTAGGTCTCAGGAATGTGTATCTACCAACAAAGATTCATTATTTGCATGCCATTCTTATCATTAAATGCTACCTTCTTAAGTCTAGGAAAGTTTTCCATTAGTAAAATAGCACCAGAGTCTTCTCTATTACCTTGCAAATGGACACAAATATGTGAAAATAAACACACTGTTACAAACTTCTTAAGACAGTTGAGGCACTGTCAACCTCTTATTTAAACAGAAGTCTTTTGTTATGGTTTTTTTTGGTCGGTTGTGGGGGCTTGAACTCAGGGCCTGGGTACTGTTCTTGAGCTTTTTTGCTTAAGGGTAACACTGCACCCCTTTGAGCCACAGCTCTGCTTCCAGTTTTCTGTTAGTCAACTGGATATGAGTCTCACGGGGACTTTTTAGCCTGGGCTGGCTTTAAACTGTGATCCTCAGATCTCCCCCTCCTGAGTAGCTAGGATTACACATGTGAGCCACTAGCTCCCAGCTTAACCTTTTTTCCCAAACTCTGCTTGAAGGAGTTGAGATGATTGTCTTGGATCAGGCTTCCTGGAAGCAGAGGCTGAAATAAGGACATGTTGGTTATGTGATTTATTGAGAATGAGCTTTGAGGAAGTGAGGGAGGCAGGGGCAGTTAAGCTAAGGTGTGGTTAGTTTAGATGTGGCATGGGGCTCCAGCCTGGTGCTATGTGGAAGCTTAGAGAGTAATTGATAACGCCAATTGTTCTGCACTGAGGCAAGGGGGCTGTCTCAGTTGCTCAGTTGCTCACTGTCCTTGGGTGTGACCTCCTAGGTATGTCCAGGTAAAGTGAGCCCTATTATTGGTCAAGGCCAATACCCAGGGAAGGCTGCCGGTATCAAGCAGTAGCAGGGAATCCTTTCAGTGATTAGAGTATCCATACACCTTGAAGAGGATCCTCACAGAATACCCATAATACTCAATATAGTGTTTGAGGTCAGTGGCTCAGAGACTTTTAGTGTGTGTGTGTGTGTGTGTGTGTGTTTCTGAAATATACTAGGGTCAAGTTTCAAAGAAGTAATGAAGCCTGTAGATAACATATTATGACCTCAGCAACGTGACTAGATTCCACTCTTCCTAAAAGCCTCCCACTGCTGTGGTCTGAATGGTTGTTTCTTCTCCAACTTCATGTTGAAGTTCAGTGTGATCATGTTTGGAAGCAGAGACTTTGGGAGGTTTAATCAGATCAATGTAAGAGGAGATTTCTCATGATGATACCAGTATCCAATGAAAAGAGAAATCTCCTCTCTCTTCCCCTTCCTGTCCCTCCCCCTCCTCTCCTCTCTGATTTCCTCCCCTCCTCTGTCTTATTTCCTCTCCTCCTCTCTCCTATTTTCTCTTCTTCCCTTTCTCTCGAACAAGGAACGCTTTATGGCCAGGTGGACATTTAGCCAGAAAGTGAGCTCTTTTTAAGAATATGACCCTGTTCTTGAGTTTCTCCCTTCCCAAACCTTGGGGAGTGAGTGTTGTTTAAGCCACCCAGTCTATGCTATTCTATTACAGCAACTCTTAAGCCTAAGCTTGGCACACCATTGTTTTATGGGCAAAGCAAATGCCACGGCCAATTCAGATTCAAGGAGAAGGTGATTAGAATTTTAGTTGTGTTGGCAGAGTGGTTTGTGTATGTTGGAAGGGGAAGAATTCTTATCAGTCATGGTTGGAAACTATCGTGGATACATTAATTCCAGACCATTAATACACAAGATTATCTCATGGGAAGTTGAATCTTTACTTGTCTGTTTGAGTGCTGCATTTGAACTAAAGACATTTGCCATGATGACCAGTGGGGTTTTTTGTTTTTGTTGTTGTTTGTTTTGTTTTTTATTTTAGTTGGTGCCAGTGTGGGGCTTGAACTTGGGGCCGGGCACTGTCCCTGACTCCTTT